AGGGGGGGGGGACTCTAAGAAGCGCGAAAGCAAGCATCACACCATTTATGCCTGGATGGGTAGTTACAACTGAAAGTGAAACATTTCCAAATGATCAGTAATCTTACTCAACAATGTAACAAATAGTGATTTGGCCGAATAGCCAAATATTCAACCAAAAATATCAGCCGAATAGCAACTTTTTTTTTAATCATTAGTAAATATTTCTTTTTATATAGAAATAAGTCTAGTCATTATTAAAACTTAGCTCCATTATTGCCAAGGGGTAAAGGGAAAAAGGCTTTAATAGAAATGTGTAAGATAATTAAGATAAATAGATACTAAGATAATTAGAAATATTTAAGATAAAAAAAAATGGCCAACAGTCATTAAAAAAAAGTTTTTAAAAACTTAAACTGTAAAGTTAAAAAAAAAAAAAAGAAATAGAAAAAAAAATATCCTCTTAATTCTTAAAAAAAAAAAAATATTAATGCTAATAGCAATATTTTCACATAAAAAAATAATAATAAAAATAAAAAAATAAAAAAACTAGCTAGAAACTAAAACAAAAATCGTTCGTAATTTTTAAACGAAAGATTTAACGCTAAAAATCTTAATTTAACGTTTTCACATTGCCGTATTTTTTAAAAAAAGTGACCATAAAAGAATAAAGCTCAATAAAAAAGTTCTGTCATAATATAAACGCTGATAAAAAGAAAAGGTTATAAAAAAATCAAAAGTAAAACAAACAAAAAAAATTTCTTAGATCTGAAATATAACTTTAACTATGAGAATCACAGTTTGTCACTAATTATTTACTTTACCGAATACAAGAAATAAGTGGTAATAAAACAATTTAGTTTATCAGAAACGCTCCGTTAGTATGCTTCGCTTTAGTTAAAACAAAAAAGCAAGCAAAAATTTAACAAATGAACAAGTTCTCAATTTTTAAAACATGAAGTGTTGAAAAAACGAAGAAATTGACTATCCTGAATATACTACAGTAGAGAACCGATTATCCGGAACGATCGGGACCATCGCTATTCCGGATAACTGATTTTTCCGGTTTTCTGAATCGCTACAAAAGCCGTTTTTTTAATTGTCAAACTCAATTAAAAAAATATATATTTATTTAGAATAATTTTAAACTCTTACTTCTTTTGACAGTGTAGGGAATTAATGATTATTTCTAAAATCATGGTAAACATATTTTAAAAAGTAAGAATTCTGAAATCTTTTAAAGAAAAAAAAATTTTTTTTTTGAAATGGCGGGAAAATATATCGAATTTCGTTCCGGTTTTCTGGTTTTCCGGTATTCTGATTTCCGAATAAGAAGTTCTGTAAAACGAGAAGAAGAAAAAATCAGCATTACAAAACGTATGGTTCAATATAAAGTAATCCAGTCTTGAAAATTCGCTTTTCTATGTCTTTTAGAACATAAATTAACAAGTTTTAGAACTTAAAGATGCGTAAAAACTATTTTTAATAATGTTATAGTAAAAAATACGATTTCAGATTTTTTATTAAATCTATTAAAATTTCTTTAAAAAAAAACTTTGTAGAAACATAATTTTCAAAATAATACTTTGCGGAATGTTAGGGTAAACATTCGACAAACCGAATATTCGTTACATCCCTACTCACTATTCGAGACATCGAAATCTGACATATAAAATAGTTAGAGAACAAACTTGTGATTACTAAAGTTGTTTCAAAAAGCAGCAACCATTATTGTATGATATAGTTCAGAATAAATAACTTTCCGAAAAACGTACCTTGCAAGACAATATCGTTACATCAATTTAATTTGATAATTCTATTTAATCAAATATTTATTTGTCTTAGCTCATTTTATGATATACAGTTTTTTTAAATTTCTTTGTTGTTCGAAGTTAAATGATAAAATACAATCAGCAGCACGCATCCCACTTCGTGCATTCCCATATTAAATCCTATAATTCCCATCTGAAAAAACGCGTTAAACATGTTAAAACCAACTCGAGTCATTCAATACTTTCAGTTTTTCTGAAGCATTCTCTTTCAGAATAAATTCAAAATCAGCATCTGCATTGGAAAATGTTTAGTAATATTACACATTCAGAGAGAAACCTTCAGCTTAAAAGTTTGCTTTCTCTTTCTGATTGTTAATACAGTCAAAAAGTTAACAAAAATCAATTTGCTTGATTACCATCTTCAAACCTTAAGATTTAAAACCAACGTAGTTTGGTGAATCTAGTTAAGATTTAATAATATCGTTTATTAAATAAGATTATACAAGAATTGCAGATTATATATTTTAAAATACGATATTGTGCGTTTTAAGGATAATATAAACAGACGTTTAACGCTTAAATACCCGCTAATTCTTTTATAAATTTAACTATAATCCATTTGCTTCTGGCCCAATTACTGTCATCTAAAAACTATTATACTTATTTACTTTCATATCCTAAGAAAAACTTGTTACACATTATTCATTTTATTACCATTGTGTTTCAATCAAAAGATCTAACATCAAAATTGTACAATGTACAAAAGTTCCTATTATACTCATTTTAAGACAACGGAAAATACGAATTGTTCTTTTTTCTGTGGCCTTGATTCTCATGCTGTCACCTTACATCCAGAGTATGAACGTAAAACTCGTTTAAAAGGGAAGCTACTGACCACTCGCATATTTACCAATAATTATGTTTGTTTGTTTCTTTAACATAGCGCTTTAAAACAAAGATTTGAAAAAAGTTAAAACAGTAATAAGAAAATTGGCCATTTCATTGTTAATTAAATGATTGTAAATTGCGAATGGTATATAGATGAATAACTTAAATAAACAAATAATGCATAAACAGAATGAATCAATATAAAATCTGCAATCTGCAAGATCAAGTTCCCAAGTAGTTACACACTCATCACTAATTCTTCCACTTTCCATGAAGTTAGAAAGCTAACATTTGGAACATATGTTCTTTACCTGGTATAAAGAAAAACTTATAACGTTTAATTTCGATGATTTGTAATTATCGGGGTAATTAGCCTAAAATTGACAGTACTGTGAAAGAACACATTTTTACCAAGATGGCGGTATCAAATTTGGACTATGTGTTCCTCATCATAAAGAACTAAAAAAAAAAATTCCATTTCGATATGTTGTCATTATCAGAGTAATTAGCCTGAAATTGACAGAAATGCTAACTAACACTTTTTTACTAAGAAGTTTCAAATTTGAACCATTTATTCTTTGAGATTAATAGAAAAACGAAAAAAGTTTTATTTTGATATTTGTAACTAATAAGGTTTATCCAAAATGTTAGAATCGAATTTCTCATCCTTCTTATAATTTTGCGTCATAATTAAACACTCCAACCAATTAAGATAAATCCAATTATACTTTTACATAGACAATTGCTTTGTAAGGGCATACAGACAAAAAAAAAACATTAAAATATTTTTATAATGAAAAAAAATGTACCAAATGTTTCCTCCTATCGTGGATGGTGGGTCTCAGGAGAATATGCACAGCAATTAATCCTGCATAAGATTAAAAAAAAAAAAAAAAAGGGGGGGGGTACATCAAATATTTTCCTTTTACTAAGTAAAGCCCGAAAAATGGTTCTAAGTAGTTTAAAACATATAGAAACATTTTCTAAACACATAGCAAAACTTGCACTCACCATGATACAGTTTGGCTTTCCAACAGCCCAAAGATTGACTTTTTTGTCATCCCCACCAGTAACTAAAACTCTTCCAGACTTGCGACCAAATGAAAGACAGTTGACGTTTGCGGAATGAGCCACAAATTCCTCTGGAAAAAAATGCAGTTAAGAAAATGAATAAAAGGTAAATCAAAAATTTTATAAACCATTTATGAAAATTGCTTTGTTAATTAAAGAGAAACAAAGCATTTTCATTGAAAGTCTTCCCATACAGCACATGCAAATTGTTTAATAACTTCAAAAAGCAAAAAAAAAAATTAGTTAAGATGTATATACCAAATATCTTTGCAGTAAATGTGAATAAATAAAAAAACTTTATATTAATAAAAAATCTTAAAACAGTAAAAGAAATTCTGATTGTCCTGCACTTCCCTAAAGTAATGGATCAAGTGATAGCAATGAAAAAATAAGTTTTTCCCAAAATAAGCTTTTCTCTTGTCATGATCATGTTTTTTTACATGACGTTAATTGCTCATATCAATCAATTAATGAGAGAAAGTAATTTCTATTTATTCCTACTTTAAAATAATTTTTTGATTATTTTTTTTAATAAGATGGTTCCAATGATAAAATAAACACCACGACAACAGAAATGCATAATGTTAAATCCAGCCGTGCGACAGAGGAATTTTTCAGCTTAAGGTTTTCATTTCATACACTACAAAATTGTACAATATTAAAGTTTGTTTCTTTTAAATTTTAACTATTTCTTCTAGAGTTATTATTAAAAAATTATATTAGTCATTTTTTGCTTCGTCCATTTTCTTCCGGTTTTCCACTTTCTTGCAGTGTTTTGGATGAAATAGGTTTCTTCTCTTAAGAATTTTCAATCCTATGTTAAATCCAATTAAATTTAAAATAGAAAAATTCAACAGTTTCAAAAACAGATGTTTTAAACATAAGATTTATGGATCAAACAGTTTTATTTTTCATACATTAAAATAATTATAATTTTATAATCATTAATTCTATAAACTAGGTTTTGATCTAGCAAAGTACATAACCGTGTACACAAAAACTTTTACAACTTTTAAATCTAATGAACTAAAGTGTTCCTATTAATTGCAACAAAAAAAAAAAAAATTGGAATCATTACTAATTTGCCAGGATAGCAATATCAGATGCATAAATATATATCTAAGTCAGACTTTGCTTTGTTTCCATATAAAACAATTCCTAATCTATTACTTTGGCATGAGTGCGATTTCAGTTAATTTAACAAAACAATCACAACATTATATCCAGGGTTGGCAGGTTTTTGACATGTGACAGTTTTTGACAGNTTTTTTTTTTCAAAATATAAATATTTAAAAAAATTTTGTGCAAAATTTTTCTTATCAGAAACTAGAATATAAATTTCTGAGCTTTTAAATCTGTTATTTTACCTTAATTTTAATTAAAAAATATTTTAAAACCTGCTGATTACCTATAGTATAATTAAATTTCAATATAATGCATGGCAACTGTTGGTAGTTTTGCAGTTTATATATTTTCTTGGCAAACAAACCCAACCATATCACTCTCAATGGCAACATGTAAGTTTCAAACCCTCCTCTTCTGCTGTAAATTGTTAATCAAGTCTACAGCTTAGGGGAGGGTGTTATTTTCAGATTTTATCATTTTGGGCCTAAATCACATTTTTTAAAACTTCCCAGCTTTCATACAATTACTTCTGTATTCAATTACTCAAGTACAGCTCTTATCACATATAAGTTGAATAAATAGCTACCCTGCGAATTTTTGTTTCTGCTATATTCAAGACTTTTTTCCCAGCAAATTTCATACCTGTCTAATTCTGACAAAGGTAGACCTAAAATTGAGCAAAATTTTAGTTTCTTGTAATCTTGGGGTCATGCCAAATGTAAACCACACATAAATATATTTTTTTTTTGTTTCTTTCTTTGTTTTTTTCTTTCTTTTTTTTTTATTCGTTTCTTTGGTACTACACATTAGTATGCAATTATTAAAATATATACCTTCGACAAAAAGGCAACTATTTAAAAATATTTGCAAATACTAATGACAGGGTTGGCAGGTTTTTGACATGTGANCTTCATGTCAAAAACCACTTTTTGACGTCAAAAACCAAACCCTGACTAATGATAAAGTGTCAGGTATACAGTTATAATGCATTAAAAATTTTATAAATAAAAAAAAAATTCAAAACTTATTAGACTTATCCGCAGTGAGAATCAAACAATTTTACTTAACGAAAACAAAAATCTATAATTTTTCATAAATTGATGAAAATCTCTAGTCACAAGTGCCATTCATCATTAACATAAATCATTAAACCAACCTGATATATTTAGGAGCATTTTCATCAGAGGGAAACATTCACTAATTTTAGTTTCTGATTCGTAAAATTATTCCACTTTACTAGAGGGTCATATTCATTGACATTAAAAAATCTATCTAATTCTATGAACTATGGCTGATCATATAGTGAAGAAAAGCTTTCTTTCTTAGATTTGTCAGAGATGTAATATCCTGAGTAGTAAAATAATGGGAGCATTTTCTATTCTCGTAGATAAATAAAATATGTCAACTGCTTTTTGAAAGATTCATTCATCACATCTCATATAAGAGTCATAAAACCAAGTTTTCCGGCTTTCTCATCATGTTTGGTGCATAATTTCCCTTCTGGACTTTTTTTTCCTACTTTTTTAAATCTCACAAATTTATAGCAACTTCTCTTCAATCGCTCATAAGTCTATCTCTTTTCTTTGAAAAAATTTGATTTTTTTTTTTTTTTTAATGATAGGTAATATGACATACCTAAAGCACTCCCTTTGAAAAAAATCAAAGGACTTAACATTCTTAGGCAAGGATTGGGGAGGAACCTTCAAATAACTGTTGGAACTTTTAGCGGCAAATGAATTTTTCAAATCAATAATAAAGTTTTGAAAATGTAATCGTATGAAATTTATTGCTTCTTCATGTGAAAGTCATCTAGTAAAACTTGCTTCCTTTTTTTTCTTTAGCTTGGTTGCTTTCCCATCATTTAACTTCTTCACCTCTGCAAGGCTCGAAGTTCTAATTGCGCTGTTTTTACTGTACTTAAAAGATCTTTTATATTGTTTCCTCAAACTTTAGCAATGATACTACCCATTATGACTACCCATTTAGCTACCCATTATAATTTCACACATTGTTCCATCAAAATGGATCTCCAATTCATAAAGATTAAAATCTTCCACGAGTCCTCTAAACATTTCCGTAATGAAAAACATAATTTTATTAGGATTTCATCTGCATCCTTTTAAAAATACTTAAAATATCTAAGGAAATTTAAAGCATGCATAAAGGAGAAAGAAAGGTTGTCATTTATGGATGATAAATTCAACCATTTATTTCAAATTACTTGAAAATGTTTCAGTACTCTCTTTTTTAACCATAACTACTTAGACAATTGACTTCCTGACTATTGCAGAATTTTCACAACAAATTAAGAATGTAGTATGCAAACAAATAAAGCAAACAAAATCTGAAAAAGTCATCATTTAAATATTAAAATATGCATATTTTAAGTTTATTTTAACATATTCCTCATGTATGCCACATCAACTTACTGTCTGAAATGGAATATTTTCTGTTCTGCCAAATGTAACACAAATAACTTGTGTAACATGGGTCAATTTCATTTATTTATTAGTTTAAATTCCTTAAGGTTATGACACCTGAAATTTAGCTTTATAAATTATTACTGTATCAATATACTTTGATTTTTATTATTTTCAACAAATATGCTAGTTAATTTAAAAATTGTGTAAAATCGAAATTCTCAAAAAATTTATTCATTAGAAAAGCCCAGCTGTGACGAATTTCAATTCCTACAGTTATTATTCATTTTCTCCTTTATATATGCTGACGAAAGTCTTATAGCCAGAATTTTCAGAGTGTAATGAATAAAATATTTTTCTTAATTAAAATTAATAATGAAATATGTTATTTATAATGAAATAACAATTATACATATATTTAAACAATTATGTGTAAAATATATTTGATTCACAAAAAAAAGTCTTGAGTTATGGGAAATTATGCAAAAAGTTAAAGTAACATTAAGGGGTCCAAATTTTCAACAACTCTCCTGACCAAACTATTAAGGCCTTATTTCCCAGAGCTCAGCTACTCCCCATATTTTGAAGATCAGGAGTCCAAATTTGTTGACAAAAAAATAGGTTACTTCAGAGAATGTACTTCTTCTGGTCTGATTTTGCAACTTAAAATATTGTCTGCAATAAGTAATTACCATATTTGGGATCCTCTCTTTAAACCATTAAAATAAAAGTTCTAATGTATGAAGATACAGTCACTAGATCAAAAGTCATTTTGGATGTTATTTTTTGCTTTTGTACTTTTTGTATTATCGAAAAAGCATGTGTATGCTGTTCTGGTCTAGAATTTTTGTTCAGTTGATGAGATATAGATCTGCTAAATTTAAGTTTAACTACTTTATTAAACCCTCAACCCTTTTGTAACTATTACAGTTAGTTAAAGTGACAAAAATTTTCAATGAACAAAAAAGGCTGTGGTTACTTTTGTAACAAAATTAAAATTTAGAGTAATTACAGATATATTGTATAAATCAGTTTTAAATTATAGGCCATTATATAATAAATATATGTAAGCAGAACATCTAAATTTTTGATTTTAAAAAATATCAAAAATTTAGGATTAACTTTTATTACTTTTTTGTGTTACTCTTGTTATATTTCAAAGAGCAATTAAATAGATCTCTTTCATCACAGATGTAGATTTTTTTAACATTAACTTAAAAATGAGATACTTACAAATATTATAAAAAATAACAGTTTAACAAAGCAAATAAAATTATTATACAAATTGGTAATTGGAAATAGACATTGAAATTCAAAAATTTTCGATTGAAAAACAGTTTATTTCCAGACCATTGACCAAGATAAAAAATTACAGAGAAAAATGAAAAATTCTTCCAGTTTAGTTTTGTTTGTACTTTTAACTAAATACTTCTATTATGGAATATGACAATTTAATTTGAAGAAAAAATTCATTCACTATATCATACTTGTCATGAAATTGGTGATAAAACTTGAATGAATTCGGTATAAAACTAGATGAAAATGGTATATCATGAAATTGGTATAAAACTAGATGTCAAAAAAATAGCGACTTGGCTGAATAGTCGAATAATGAATATTCAGTCAAAAATATCGGGCGATTATTTGGCCGCGAAATAGTAACGTGTTTTTTTCAATAATAAAAATTTTTTTATACATAAATGAGTTTAGTCAATATTGCAAAATAATCAAAACTTAGTTGAATTATTGACATAGGATAAAAGGATAAAATCTATACTAAAAATGTTTAAGATACTTAGATATTAAGATCATTAAAAATATTTAAGATCAATAAAAAACTGACTAGCAGGTATTAAAAAACTTAAGTTACAAAGTTAAAAAAAAAGAGGAATAGAAAAAAATATTTTAATTCTTAAAAAGAAACTTTAATGCTAAAAATAATACTTTCCGGGAAAAAAAATTCACTATAAAATAATGTTAAAAAGAGATAATGAAAATTAAACTCAGTGGCAAGATAGCCCACAGAGGGCCATGGTCCACTGTGCCCATCTTAATTTTCCTGACCCTTAGGCTCTGGGGTGCTAGAGCAGATGTTCCTGTTAGGTGGTCTGCCCAACGTGGAACCCCCAGTGTTTAGTTCCCAAGCATTCTTGGTTTGACACTTATTTTATCGACCCACCAAAGAGTTGAAAGGCTGAGTCAACCTTTCCTGGCCCAAGAATCAAACCAAGGATCTGTGGCACGACAGCGTGAATACAAACGCAGATTTAAAAAAAAGGTCAGTTGGTTGTTCTAAGAGTTAACGTCTATAGACTTCAAAATTGTTACCAAAGGTACATGATTTTTTGCAAACACTTTCAATTTTAGTTAGTGTCACTTTTTTGGAGCGTAAATGCCACTTCTATTGGCGTCATGAAAATTTAGCCTAAAAATGATCCCAACTGATGTAATTATGTGTAAAAACAAATTTACCATTTATGAATGACCCTGCATCATATCTCTCTAATATTAACATCTTTTTGCAAGATATTTTTAAAAATAACAAATATATATGTGTTACTAATTTAAAGTAACAAAAGTGTCATCAAAAAGAAAAAAAACTATTTGAGTTAAATAAAATTATTTTTTTAATTGAATATGTAATATTTTTTTAATTCTAATATTATGGGAGATATTCTCGCATTTTGTAGGGGTACACACTATTTATTTCTTTTTTTGCATTTTGTAAATCGTCAATACATTAAAAAAATAATAATAATAAAACTTGTAATCCGTAGCAGAAAATCGTGTAATCCGTAACTACCGGGGGAAAATAGACTGCGAAATCATGTGAATCAGACTCTTCAAAAAGGGGTTACTAAATTCCTGTTATCATTTCCAGATTTAGTTGCAATAAATGATATAGTATTTAAAATATCGGATTTTAAAAGCTATGTGGAAATTAATAGTAATAACTACATAAAAAAATAGAACAAAAACCTCTGCAGAAAAGAAAACCAAAATTTTTACTTCATTATTCTTTATTCTCAAATGAGAATAGAAAAATCACAAGCATCCACCCCCCTTCCCATCCGATGCACGAGAAAAGCATCTGTTGAATATAATTAAAAGATAAAAATTTTCGAAAATTTCTGCATAGAAAGAAAAACTAAAATATTTTTTTACTTCCCAAAGGAAAAATCTTTCAGCAAGAACTTGGTAATGTTCTGCGACAAATGTCGCCACAATTCTGCCACTTGCATGAATGATAAGGCTATTTTAAATAAAGAATTATGTTTTTTGTTTACGTTTGCATTTAATTTTATGTCATAAAAATGAGTTAGCTTTAAAAGATGAGAAGAAATATGTTTATTTTTCTAAAATAACTTTCTTTTCTAATTTAACTTTCAACTCTAGAAATAAATCAAGTAAATCATTGATAGCATCCACTTTAGTGCACACTGAGTGCAACATGACGTTACATCGTAAAAAAGAGCTCTCTGAATAAGAGTCTCACACAAATATTTTGAATACATTTCAATCTACTTATTTGCTTTCCTAAATTTTTTGTTTTTATAATTCTTTTGAGTTTCCTTATTTGACCTTTCCCGCATTAGGTGCATATGTTTGCCTGGTCGATGGGAGAGGTTTTAATGATCTTGAGGATTTCTTCAGCACTAGGTCTAAGTAAAAAATTCTGTGCATCCCAAAAATGGTTGTAAATAGAGGCGGTCTTTCCCAGGAAGTTTCACTGTAATACTTTGCCAAATAATTAGACAAACATTTAGACAAATATTTGACCAACTGAATATGCAACAAAAAGCTCCAAATATTTAATACATCCCTATATAAAACATTATCATATTTTTATCAATAATCTAGAGTCCTTTTTTTGCTAAATATATTTTTTTCTCTTTAAAATTCAATGTTTTATATACTCTTCATATTTCAATTTTAATCAGTTGAAATAAAATTAAAATTCAATGTCACCAACGATCTGAGTATTTGTTTTTTACATCATGATAAAAACCATCACGCATCAAAAGCTTACCAACTATGTAGTCTACATTCCTTTTATCAATGCTTGTTTGTGCAAAATCAATGAGCAATGCCAACCGCTACCATCAATACCTATTTACACTTAATAATTTATTGTTTAATAAAACCAAATACTTTTGAATATTAATACTTCGATATATAAGATTTATACTTATTTAAAGTGCTGTTACTATAATGCCATTGCTGCTAGTACTGTTATTTCAATTTCAAGGGATAAGGTACATTCACACTGTTATGCTGTCAGATGAAAAAATATGGGCTTAGTACAAATTTCAAGGCTTTTCAAAATTCCGTACTTGTAGGAGTGAAAAAATAATGCATAACACAAAATAATTTGATATTAATTAATAAATAATTGGAATTATTAATAAATAATTTAAATTTCTTTTCCATTGTTCACTACTTTGAATTTACAATGGTTAAAATCATGACCTAAATATGTTCATCAATTCATAATATTGTCCTACAAACTATATTAAATCTAATACTAAAATCTCGAAAAAATTTATTACACATTTACAAACCATAAAATTTTTTAGCAACACAAGTTTAACATATAATCATCGTACAAAAACTAGTGCCTCAAGTACATATCAAAAAAATATTTATAGCATTTTTATAATAAAATGCATAGAACCAATTTTTTACTAAAAGACATTACAGAAAATACTTACGAAGTTTCCAATGTTTTCTCGATGACATCGTAAATCTCAATGCAGTCTTATTCCACAAAAAATTTGAAGCATTAATCCTATTGAAGCTACTGAGAATTTTTGAATATAAAAAGAAAAAATTAAAACACTACAACACACATTAATAAATAGTATTTAGTCCTTTAACTTGCGAATTTTCTTTATCTATTTTACACCACACACCACAAAAAAATCTACATCTGTATAGAAATGCAATTGCTGCAGAGAATACACTAATAAACCATTTCGCTTTCAAACTAACTACAACTAATGAATAATTACAAATCTTTTTAATCTTGAAGAAAAGAATATAACAAATCAGTTTATAAGTATTTACACTGCACGTTACACATGATTTCCGTGCTAAATTTTAAATTCTCTGATCAATTGTTGTGGTGTGGGCTGTGACAAAAAGAAGCCTTTACAGACAGTAATAGGAAGCTAAACTTTTCTCGCCAAAGTGATTAACTGAAAGCGCCAACTTTGAGGCTACTGGACATTCAGAACTAGGTTTTGAAAACTTTCCCCTCCACATTTTTTTAGAATCTTTCACTTTTTTTGGAAAAGATAACAGTTTAAATTTTCCATCGCCTGAATTAAGCGAATATAAAAAAATTACGATAATCTTTAAGAATATTTTGACTTGGCGTTTTTGGCGAAAAAAATGATTGATTAAGTGCAACTTTTAAGCACTCACATAACTATGACATCGGTGTTTTATTTCGGATACAAACTACATCACCACAGTTAGACAATTTCTAAGTTTTTAAACTAAGGATATTGAGATTTGAATAAGCTATGATTGGGGCAGAAATAGGCAGCCTATAGCGTTTGGTATCAATGATCATCAACTAAAAATCAATCAATGATCAACTGTTGTCAAGGGAGTAGATGTTAAAATATTATTAATATGATGTTCAAATCTATCATGCGTTGTTCAATGAACATTATATTAAATAATAAAATTCGCTATATTTCTTATATTCAAGGCCAAAGTCCAGAGCCTAACAGTCGTGAATATTTTTATTTTATTGACCATCAGGGAATGGTGAAGTTTCTCATTTTATTCTTGAAATTAACTTCCAAATTATGCAATTAATTGTTCAATGAACATTTTAGTGAAAAAAATTTGCTATATGTCTTACATTCAAGACCGAAGTCTAGTGTATATATATGTTTTATTCACCATCGAGAAATGCAATTTTCGCATTAATTATGCAATTAGCTTATTTTCGCTGCATTTCTCTCTTATATCTGTGTTTGTCTGGCTTAAACCAAATTTTTTTTGTGTGTGTGTGAAGGAAAATCTTTTAAATAACTTAATTTTCTGTTGTTTATATATGTACTTTTACTTTAAATGTAACCTAATAAAAAAAATAGTAAATTTTCCCATAAGAATTTTAATAACATTGAGTTTAATTACCAATCAGAGTCTGTGCTATTTTAAATAAACGTATGTGATTTGTGACTTTTAATTGCTTACTTATTGTACTTCAGCAAAAAAAATTTTGTTTAATACATTTATGTGAGTCAGTTTAAAATTAAGTCAAAATGTCTCTACGAATAGTTGAAATAAATCAGACCATCACCAACTTTATGTTCTGATGGTTTTTAAAATTGTATAAAAAATAAAATTTTAAAACAAGATCACAAGTTTTTTTAAATAAAAAATCTTGTTTAACAATACATTGTGCCTGTTACAATCAAAAACATAAATGGAAAAAGATGCTTTTCAGAAATTTATATTTTATTTTTCAGTTTATGGAATTTTTTTAGTTATTGTAAGCAAGTTTTTTTATTGTATGTATAGTATGTTTTTATGAATTATTCTGATATTAACGAAATATGATGTTTATAAAAAAGAACATAATTCAAAAATTTTAATAATGCATTCAAAATTCATTTAAATTACTATCAATATGAATTACTTTATTCAATGTGACATTATATGCAATGTTATGCTTAAAGCTTCATTGTGTAAAAATTTAAAAAAAACATAGTTTATTTTATATATGAGTCATTCATAATAAGACATACCTTTTCTTTATCTCATATCTATGCATACAGTCTATTTGATATTTCTAGTCCTTTACTTCATTCCATTATTTTCAAATATTTTTTAATTAGAAAATATATTACCTTAAATTTTTCATATTCCTTAAAGTTAAAATTTGTATGTATTCAATTATTAAAATATATATATATATATGATTATTTTATCCAAGTAATTTGATACAAATGTTGTAAATTGAACACATTAAATTAGTGACATTAAAAAAAGCTTAAGTAGGATATTTTCATAATGAACTCACAAACTAAGGGAAACTCATTTTCTTACATACACTACTAATTTAACAATTTGTTATTAAATTTTTATTTGCATGTTAAGTTGAAATGTAAAGTAATGAATAAGTACATTCAAAATCTCCAGTTATTCTTATATATCATGCTAGTATGTTTATACGAGGAAAGTTGATGTCTTTTAATTATTTATTGACAATATAGTAAATCTTTAAAAAATTTGCATGATTATACTTTATAATAACTTAATAATTTTAATTTAGAGTGTAAAATAATATTTAAATCTGTTTCTAACCCTGCTCATAATTTATTTAATTCTACTTTTTACTGAAAAATTCATAACAAACGCTAATGGATATAATCAAAGTGCAGACTTATGTTTAGTGCAAAATTAGAAAGATATTACTCTGAATAAATTTCATTCTAATTATCATATTTGCTTGAAATAAGTGTCAGATTTAATGGTTCCATGGGGGTGACTTCAAATATGCGCTAACTGTTAATTAAGTTACGAAATCAGATACAAATATGTACTTTCCCTTTCTGTTCTTAATGATTCATGTAATTATTAAAAAAGACTTGTACTTATAACGAATTATAAATTAAGAAACTGTGCATCTATATATATTTGACATTAGTCCCGAAATACGGCCAAACAGCAGTACCGATAGGGTAACTTAAGGTAACAATACTAAGCTAACCTTGCTTAAGACAATCATACATAAACTGTGTGATTGATAAGGGAAGCAAATCCCAGTGTTTCTCTTTTGCTAAGCCAGTGAATTGAAATAATAAAAAGAAGAAAATAGAAGCTTTTACATTCAACGTTTTGTAATATCTTGGAAAGGCTTGTTTATTAATAATTAATAGATAAATATTTCAATGTTTCTAAGCAACAGACTTTTTTTCTCTTTTTTTTTGGCTGATTTATGACCAAATAGCAAAGATAGTTTGTTTGTTTTTTTATCTTTGAATCCCCTTAGATTGATAAATTATTTATGATTTTCCAAGATTAATTTTCCATGTGGACTTTTTATATGACATTATTTGTGTTTTTTACAATTTTTTTTTTAATTTCATTTTTATGAAGATTTTATATTCGAACCAAATTTATATTATTATATGCAGAGTTAGAAGGCAATCATTTTTACATCTTCGATCGAGTTTTCTGTGCAAGAAAGTTTAAAGAGAAAAGAAAACCCAGAAAATATGTTGATGATCTAGAAGAGATTATAATTATAATGCATATTCAAAAGTTTTTATATAATTTACGATATTTCTTTTTATTGAGGAAGTTAGTGATTAGGTGGCATTTTGAAAATCTTGAAGTATAAATGTTTAAGAATATTATCTCTTAATATGTTGGATATTATTTGATTTATTGCTTAAAAAATTGTTTCGATGTGCCAAATATTTAAGTTATAGTTTTCTTACAATAAAGATATGAAAATATATCCTGATGTCTTTATACATTCTAAAACTGATTTTCGCAAATTTGCCATTACAAGATGTTCTATATTTATCATGAAACATCACTACTATAATTTTTTTTTTGGTTATTTACTTTATTTGCGAACTAGTTTTAGGATTCTCACCATCACAACTTCTTTATATATATATGAAACCATAATCCCCTTTTAAACAGAGTTCATTAGGTGCTTTTATTATTGTTAAAATATATTTTATTATTGTTCATATTCACAATATTTAATTCCGTTAACTCCATATCAAATCTTAAATTTCGAAATTTGAATTTTAAAGCTATCTTTATAATTACAATATTGATGTTATGGTTTTCTTATATTTTAAGGACTGCATGAACCTAACTAAGGTATTAAAAGTATTAGTTGTGTGCTTTTACTAGCTTGATTCTGATCAAAATAATAATCATGACCAAATATAACACAATATACTTCATGATAAAAACTTCATTGGCTTTTTAAAGAAAAAGAAAAAAACGAAGAATGTAATAAAAGTCGGCATATTTCGAAATCTTAAAAATAGGCATCCATTCTCAAGACTTGCCAGATGTGAATGAGAAAAATTAAAATGACTTGAAAACATAAATGTGAGGTTGCCAATGCAGGAATTTAAAAAAAAAGCTGAAAAACAAAACAAGAAAAACTGCAGTAGTCGAGAGTGAAATAGAAAATAAAAAATAAATAAAGGTGCGAAAACAAAAAGTTAAATTACTGTGGTTATGAAAAGCATATCAGGGTGAAATGCATTTTTGTATGGAGAGATAATGAGGAACTCCTGTCACTAATAAAGGGAAGAATCAGCATTCGTCTGAATAAAATAAGATTTAAGGGCATCAAGTTGAGTTGTTGTTACACAGTGTTAAAAATTATGGCATTATCAAAATTAAATTTGTATCAAAGATTCAAACATTATTTGCAATAAATGATTTATCCCTTAATAGCGACTATATCTATGTAGTTCTATTGATTTAAATTTTAAAGCAGGTCTGATTTGTCCAATGTAGTCTAAATTGTATTGTCAGGTATTACATTTGTTCCCAAGATTCCAAGAATGTGCCACAAGGAATGATTTATTGTATCCTTGATAATGGACATATTTATCATGTTGCTTTTTTCTTAATTTTAAAACGTGTCTGGTTTGTCCAATGTAGCCAATGTAGTGATAATGCATTCATTTTTTTTTTCTGTTTCCCTCTAATCTATCGCAGTATTTCTAGTTTTATTTTTCACCTTTACATTTCATTGGCAACCATACATTTTCTGTTTCAAATCACTTTTGTTTTTCTCATTCACATCAGGCGAATCTTGAAAATGAGTGCCTATTTTTGAGCGTATGAAACATTTACTTCAAATATATAATGTTTAGAGCACTCTGAACTCACAGGCATGAATTTTTTAACACTTATAACATGTTGACTTTTATTACCATCTTCATATTTTTTTAAGGCAATGGGGTTTTTATCTTTTCACATCAGTTTTTTGTGATTATTTATGTAGTAACACAGTATATTAAAATAAGTTTTACATAATGTAATGGCATTGGCTCTTAGATACAAAAAATAATAATAATAAAAATAAAAATCAATGTAGTACAATTTTTTTTCACAGCTAGCCTTAAAAACATTTTTTAAATGTGTCAAAAAATTCTTCTTACAATTGAAACTTCAATATGGCTCTTAATTCATTCCAAATTAAATCAAAAATTGTTATGGAATACCTTTTAAGAGAACTGCAACCAGGAATAAGATTATTCTTATCTGGGTGCCAAGACACATGGGAATTAAAGATAACGATGGAGCTAATGAACTTGCAAAACAGGAATCCTTTTTCAATCTAATAGGAATGGAACCCTTTTATAGCTTTTAACATGAAGGCTGCTGGGGAAATTATTCTTCAATGGGAAAGACAGGAGCTGAACAAAGAAAAAACAGAAGGCGAACAAACTACTCCTGGACAAAAACAAGCTAAAAGTATGATTATCAATTCAACTGCAAAAATCACTTCTGAAATCCTTAAGCTCCCAAGATTGAGGATACAACAATTGTGGGCTTTATGACTGGGCATTATCATTTCAGAAAACACCTTCATAGAATGGAACTTTTTCAACAGAAACCAATCTGCAGGAAATGCTGCAAGAATTGTGGAATCTTAGGATCATATTTTATATGAGTGTGATGAACTTACTGATAGAAAATCTATTTCGAGTTTCGGGATATGCGTATATCTCTACCATTTGATGCCCTGGTCAGTAAGAAAACAATTAATATGTGCTTTTAAATTTATTAATAAACTTAACAATGAAACAAATAATAATTAGACTGAAACAAAACAACAAAATATAAGAAATAGGAGCTTTCAAGAAATGCTCCTTCAGGCATGAGTGCATCAAGAACAACTGGAAAAAAATATATAATTTGATTGGCGACGAATTGACGCCGCCAAAAAGAATTAATTCGTAACACTTGCCCTTATATGATTTACTACTTTAGGCACTCTCCATCCTAAAGAGCTACACGTCAGCTCTATTAAGGGACTGTCTGACTTTATAAACAAAGTAGGCGACCCAAGAAAATGCAACGAGGAAGGTTTGGGTTAACATAGCTGTCAACTCTGCTGGATTTCACCTGTTTCTCCTGGTCTACTGGTTTAATAAAAATTCTTCTGATTTTTATGTATTTTAGAAAATTCCCAAAAATTGAGTAAGTTTCCTAAAAAATTTCCGATTAAAAAGCTATTTTGCACAAATTATTACGTGCTCAAATATTTAAATGCGTATTACTAATACATAATGAAGCTAGTCTCATTTATAGAAATCAATTATGTTGCAATTATGAAATTTATATTATTTCGTAAAATCTACTGGATTTTTTCCTATCCATGTTTGCAGCTATGGGTTTGGAGCATTTGGCATAAAATGCTATTAAAGTAGAGGTGCTTCACATCAGACTAGCCCAAACAAGAAGAACTTCAAAAGTCAAATGAGACAATGGGAACACCCCCCCTAGTTGGTAATCTAAGTAAATACATTGTTGCAAAGGCAATTATTTCAAACAAGGTGTCCTTGTCCTACTCGAAATTGTTTGAAAGTTTATTATTTTTTCGTCTATTCCAAAATTTATTCTAGATATTTTTAGGGTATACTTTAGTCGTGTTTCGATAAAATTTCTTTTTTTCACCCTTTAATTTTTTTTTATTTGCTTAAAATTATTAAAACTAATTAATTTAATGCATCTATCGCATTTCCTTATCCTCGATGCCACAATGAAAAAATTAATGGTTAATTTAAATAAAAAGAGTTCAATTGTTACTCATTTTATCTTTCAAGCAATAGAATGTTTTATTCAAACAGATTTCATTTGAGTTATTAACGAAATTATTGCAATCATTTCTTGGAGCATTAGCTTTATTTTCTCTTAATAACAAAAAATTTTTAAAAAAATTGCCCATAATTTCTGTAAAAAGTATGTTAACACTCTCGCTGAGCTCGTTTAACTTTTTTTTTTTTATCAAAATAGATTCAAAAATTGCGTATTCTTATTGTATGGTATCTTTCGCAAAAATATGCACAACTGGTGTCATTGGTTATCTCAGGTCTGAATAAACAATTTAACATCACAAAAGCCGAAATGAAATCATAAACGAGTAATCATCAACGGGTTCCGCTGTTAAATACACGGGAAAAAATATATCGCAGCGAGAACGTTACAGCTATTAACTGAACATTTCTATTACAACTGTAAAATAATTTGTAATCCAAAAATTTAGTCGGGGGGAAAACCTAAAGATGGAAAGAAAAAAAAAATCTTTGAAATGATTCTAAATTTATCGGGACTGTTGGAATCTTTATACAATTCTCATTTTTAGTATTTGCTGTTTAATAAGATAATGCACGTCGAGGCATTTTCCTGATAAACTATGATATATTTCATATTATAATATCTTATGCATTATGCTAAGGTTGAAAAATAGTTTTAACAACTTTTTAAGTCTATGTTTTTAACATCTTATTTTAAAAGAGACGATTTCTTAAAGTTAGTGATGCAATAAGTTTAAACGTCAAAATAGAATTGTAGTTCCAATTTGTCTATTTAAAATAAAAAGAAAGAAAAGAAAACTAATTACTACGATCAGGACGTTTTGCACCGAGTAATTTTAAAATAACAAAATGTTCTTAATATCTTAACAAGACTACTGGCTGTTTAAGCTTTAAAACTTTCTTTAAAAAAAAAATTTGAGAATTATGTTGTTAAAACGAATGTTTAATTTAAAGAAAAGCCTAAATTGAAGTGCTAATAAAAATTAAACGAAATATTCTAAAAGAAAATCTACGTGGTAGCAAAAAGAAAAAGAATTTTAAAAATATAATGATGTAATTGGTTTAATAATTCTGCGAAACATACGTGGCCAGTAAATTAAACATTTAATTTTAAAATTAAGACGTTTAGAACGATATATCAGTCACTAATATATTTTACGACGTTTAAAAAATTTTGACTACGTATTGGACGTATTCTATATGTTCGGCAACTTCATACTCTTAGTAGTGAAAACACCATTTCATATAATTGTTGATGTTACAAGAGTTTGTCTTCGTTTAAATTTTTACTGTTTAGTTATTAAAATATGTNAAATTATTTTATAAGTATTAAAATGAAGTTTAAACGAAACATTCAACCAATTTTTCTTAACTTCATGAATACTGTATTCAACATATTTTCAAAACTATTGTTTACCATGTAACAGTTGCATAAATACTTGAAACTTTCAAAATAATCTCTTTTTAATCTAACAATTAATGTCCGATGGCACATTGACTTGAGAAAATATTCTATACATATGAAATTGACGTTGGGCGGGGGTACCCGCTGGGCGGAGCTACCCGACTCTCCCCTACATACTTAAATATTACTGAAATTGAGTCACTATGAAATGAATTAACTAAAAAATAAAATTTAAAAAAAAATCAAATGCCTGACCAGACCATATGCAAAGAGGAACATGTTTTTAAACTTGGCATTTGTTAAATATAATATTTTATTCAAATCTCTTTACTAAAGTAAGTATAAATTAGCAGACGTTTTTAAAAGAGACATCTTTTTTTATAATTAATAATTTTTTTAAAACAATAGAAATTCACGATTGAATAAATAATTATTAAATGTTATTTTTTACATGAAATTACCTTTGGGCACTTATTAAGTCACCCCCATAAACCTTTAAGATTAACACTTAGCTCGCGAAAATCCGATTGTTAGATTGAAAGTTATTCCGGGTTGATATTTTTTTTTTCATTCTGTGAACTGTACATACTTATATTTTAAGTGGAAAATCTAATATTATACTTTGATAAATTGTCATAGCTTTATCAAAAATTTAATTCTAACTGCCCATTATAGCATCCAGATTTAGTAGGTAATATCCATAGATCCAAAATGTCACAATTTAGTTCTTTTGAAATGTATCTACTATTTAAAATTATTAAATCCTTATTTTAATCTACTAACTTTTAAAAAACCATTGTTTTATATGGGCTTTTTCGAATTCAAAAATCAATTTTTTAATAATTTTTAAAATAATTTAGTGATAATGTTTTTGTGTGAAACCTGAAAGAACTTATTGTGCAGCTCTACGACGTAAATCAACCACTACTGTTTAATATATCTTATTTCTTGAAAAATATATTAAAATAATTTTAAGTATTGTTTTTTTTAATTGCAACAATATTTTTTTTCATTTCAGCTATTTTTAGACGATGCAAAAATAAAGAATTTTACATCGTGTTTCAAAGGTAATTTTTGTGCATCGATATTTTGTTCCAATATTACGCATTCTCATTTATTTATTTTATGTTATCCAACATAATCACAATAAGTAAAAACGTGAACCATAAAATACCGAACAAGCCCCCAGATTCGATTAAGGCCCCACCCATAGTTTCATACAAATATCAAAACCAAATAATCTTCATCGACCTTCCACATCCAGAGCTAGATAATATAAATGCTCGCCATCACGGAAAATTAATCCTATACACCTTTGAAAATTTAGCCGATGCTTTTTAAAAATTAGTAAGAGTTATAAAAAAGGCTAAGACTCAAAACTTACACAAAAACAAAACTGTAAGCACCACTTAGGCTAACTTACAATTACTTTCAAAGCCAACCTCAAGAAATGCTAGGTGTGTATACCAACCTTACATATTTGAAGTAAAAAAAAAAAATTTTAAAATACGACCTATTTCGTTTACTTGCATCAAGAGATTGCGGGGAAAAATCTCCTTTAATCTTGCCAATTTAAATTATTGATTGTGCAAAAAAATTTCAGCTTACAATCAATTAAAAATGCGAAGGGCCAGATCTACCGGAAGACAGTAAAAGATATCAATCAGAGTTATACATTACAATTTTAATTATAAAAAAAGAAAAAGACTTAACTTTAATTTTTAAACATTGAATGCATATTGACAAGTATTCGGATGCTCGCCAACCCAGAAGACGTAACAGTCCTTTTTTTCTTCTTCATAATAGTAGTTTATGTATACTAATCAGGTTATAGTAAAATTGGCTTAAAAATTTTAATGTTTTTTTTTCCTTACACAGCGTAGCTTTTTTGTAGGTTTGAATCTTAAATTAGCTAATTATTTGAATTCTGATTTTTAGTTTAGTTTTACAAAACTTCTACGTTTACTCAATTAAAATGATTCGTAATTCGAAAATTACGCATAGCGAGTCAAATTCGAGCGATTTAAAAGTCAAATGTAGTGATTCGTATTCACGCTGTTAAATAATCACACAATTTAAGAATTCAACATCGCGATTTTCATTCATGCATTTTTAAAATCAAATATCGCGATTCATATTCACAGGATTTTTAATATCAATCATCGATTTACGTGATTTAAAATCTTTACAATGGTATTCGTATTCACACAATTTAAAAATTACATATCACGATTCAAAGTCGCAAGATTTACAAATCGACTGGTATGATTCGTATTAATGCATCTTTAAAATTCAATATCGTGATTCGAAAGCAGGCGATTTTAAAATCAGACATCGCAATTTGTTTTCAATAGATATTAAAATCAAACTTCGCGGTTCGTATTCATGCGATTTTAAAATCTAACGTCACAATTCGTATTCACGGGATTTCAAAATTAAATCTTTCGCTTTTTGTATTTTTTCTTTATAAAAAATTTTTAACTTTCTCAGTAATTTTTTTGTCAGTGCAATCATAATCATTTAAAAAAAAAAAAGAGTAAAGGTGAAAGGTAAGATATTTAAAATACAATTTATTCATTTTACTTTCATTTGTTTTATACTAAATTAATTAAATTGAGTAATACTTCCGCTTTATAACACATGTGCAATTTTCTTTAAAAAATTGTTCTTCTTTGCTACCATTTATCCTTTTACCCCCACATTGCAACGAGTTTCGCCAAAATTTGGGTGGGGGCTTAATCAGTAATTAACGGTATGCTCATAGAAAATTTGTTTCATTCATATTTTATTTTATAACCGTTGATGCTCAACTCTGCAGCCTTGTAATTTTGATCCTGATCCAGAAGACAAGGGAACTCATGGATCAAGTATCGGGAGACATTTACCTTTGTGGACTTTTTGACGGAACTGAACCGTATTTACTTTGCATGGAGAGGAAAACCTCCCACAGTTAGCCTGATGCTAAGGAGACTGTAACCACTTAGAATATTTTGCATCAGCACTGTGGTCGGTGCAAGCTGAATGCGGATTCAAATCGACCAGGGATTTAAGCTTGAGTCACCTCACCTCATTGGGAGGTGAGCGCTTTATCCCCTGAGCCACAGCTCTTTTCATTCATTTTAAGTAAAAGTTTTAAAAAGTTGTTATGCAACAATCTTTGATAAATGTTTATTAAATATGTTTTTAAGTAATAGTATAGTACCCTCTAAGTAAATAACATTTATAAAGAGTTCTCATTTCAAAATTTGTAATGGTTAAAGTTTCGGTTAGTTTTAAATTCAATTATATTATTGCTCTTAAATTTGTTGTATTCATTATCCTCTTTCCTATAATTTAAGGAGAAAAAGAAAACGTAACTTGCTTCGGTGTAACTAAACCATCTAAATTAATATAAGGGAAAGATAAATACCATTGATTTCATTCTTCTTAATAGGAATTTCATTATTTTATATTGTCATCAGTCATTTTGTTCCATTTTATACAAACAGAGTATTATTGACATTCATAGAGTAGGATTAATTTTCCATTGAAAATGTGTTACTATGTTTTGTTTCATAATAATAAAAAATAAGTTTTACATAAATAGATTAATAATAACAAATATAGTCTTTTTTTAAAAATTAATCATTTTGATAATTACATTGTTAGGAAATGTCCAAAACAAACTATAACAAAAAAAGTGTTAGAAACTTCAGTGGTTGAGTGGTAGCACTTTGCGCTCCCTTGCCACAGGTCCAGGGTTCGATCCTCGGACTGGGCAAGGTTGACTCAGCCTCACATCCCTTCAGTGGGTCTATAAATGAGTACCAAGCATGCTTGGGAACTAAACACTGGGGTTCTGCGTTCGGCTGACCACCTAATTGGAACATCTGCTCCTGCACCCCAGAGCCCAATGTCAGGAAAACTGAGATGGGCACAGTAGGCTTTGGCCCTCTATGGGCTGTCGCACCACTGAGTTTAGTTTAGTAGTAGTGTTAGAGACTTAAGTGTGAGCTCTCATGAAGAGCACACACCTCTTAAGTTCATTCACTTCAAATTAACTTAACTCCTTATGTTTTTCTGTTGCGTTACCTAATTCATTACTTTGAAGATTTTTTTAACATCACTTATGAAGACATGAGAGGCTATCAACTATAGTAGACCAAGTCTAATTTTTTTTAAATAAAAAAAAAGGCTAAAAAAACATCAACAAACAAACCTGTTAGTTGAATTGAAATGGTAGCTCACTCTGTTTTAGGTTCTGAAATTGGTGTAAAAGCTGCTATTCAAATATAAGCAGTTTAAATTTTTTATTTGAAATAGCATCTTGAAAATGTTACCTTTCATTCATAAAATGTTTTCTTTTTTTATTAACAAAATTTTCTATTTTATCAATGCACCAATTTAAAAATACTTAATTTTATTTCAGATAAAAAGTTTTTGCAATTCTTTTTCAAACGATTGAAAGTAAATGATACTGGAAAATATGAATTAGATTTTCCATATTACTCGCCATGTGGAAGGGAGAAGAATTTCGTAAGATGTGATGATCTCCCAATAGTATTTACTCACATTATACAAGAATCAACCAGTGACGTGCCTATGCCTTATTTGTCATATGGTCATGCAGGAGAGCTACTTAAAATCAAATTTCAACCAGAAAAGATTGCCATGCTTCCAGAAAATGGCAGAGTATATCATCCTGGGCCAGAATCAATTGGTGGTGTAGGCCTTATAAAATCTTCTCTGGCTGCACAACTAAGTTCTGGCTTCATTTATGCAAACAATGGATCTTCAGATGATTTGCCACTTTCTCTTTCTTGGCTCAGTAAAAAATATGATCTAACAAATGAGATTTTACCCAAGCTTTACAAACTACAAGGGAAAATTTAGAACTTTATTTGTATATATATATATTGTTGATATTGCTAAAAATTTCTTATTATTTTCGTCAATAAATGTTTTTTTAAAAGCATTTTATTTAATTTCTAACTGTTCACATATAGTTTTGTGTTCCGGGCCACAGGTAAAATTAATAGGATAACAAATTGGGTGGTTAAGCTAAAATTCAGAGAACAATTGATACTTCTTCACGAGATCATTAATTGCTGACAAACAGAAAAAAGTGTTTTTGAACACACTGTGCCAAAACAATGTAGCAATAAATTTGTAACTTATAACAATTATTTTGGTTATTATTTGTAATAATTACACAAAATTTTGTAAGCCTAGCTTTAATATTTATGGTAACATTTTTATAAAAATCTTTTTTTTTTGCTATAATTTTAAAAATATTAAACGAAGTTTTTAGAGCAATTTAAAATTACAAAAATGTTACTTTGAAATTTGTTCAAAACTGCATAAGATCTCGGCTCGTAGGGGGGTAATTAATGTAATTCGTTTATAGTGCTCGTAGGGGGGGGGGATGTGAAATTTTTCTTCTTCTGAATTTTGTAAGAGAATCATATTTAGCGACGATTAATTGAATATCTTAAAAAGTTTCAAGCAATCTTCTAAGTTGCTTTTGTACTTATAAAAAGAAACTCAAAATGATAGGGGTTTTCTCCAAATATTAGTTTGGAATTTAAAACAAAATTAAATAACAATTATATCTGCAATAAACGTTCAGATACCGATATATGATTGTATAAGGAAAAAAAACAGATGAAAGAAAAGATCTTTTATGGGGATGATCTCAACAATGCTGGTGTTATTATTAATAAAACAGTACAAAATGAAATTTGTGGAAAACCCCCAAGATCATTTTAAGCTTTTTTTTTAAAAAAAAAAAAAAGAATAAAACATGAAAAAGTCTTAGACATTTGAAAATTTAAATACTCTTGTCTTAATACAATAGGTTGTAAAAATATTATAAAAAGCATGAATTTAAAATTTCAATAAAATAAATTGATTTCAACTCAAAAAAATTTTATTTTCCACCTAAATGCACAGAAAAACTATTTACAGTGAAATAACATCCATGGACAGTATTTTTTTTCTGTTTGGCAGATTTGAAAATTTGTTTAATATACAGGGCTGCCACTTCACAGGGAAAACCTGGAAAATACAGGGAATTTAAAAATCACCTATAATAACAGGGAATTTTGATTTTTTTTTCTTTACACACCGGGAAAATACAGGGAATTTTGTCTTTTAAAAAATGGTGACCAATCAAAGCATAATCTATGGGATATTTAACCATGATATTTCAGTTATACTAAACTATTTCATTTACTATAGCATTATTTTAAGTATGTTCAGCTGTTTTCGAGCAATTACAACTAAGAAATATAGTTAGCCCAATATAACTCACACAAGAACACAATAATTGTTGTTTCCTCTTAATACATTGTGTATAATATGTACAGGGAAAAACACCCTAAATTTTTTTTTTCCAGATTTGAGTGGCAACCCTGATAATAGTAAAAATCACAATTTTAACCAGAGATGCCAACTTCCTCCGGACAGCAAATACAATAAATATTTTCGAGTGGTAGTTTATAGATATGTGAGTGTTGGTTTAATAAATTCAATTTATAAGGTAATGGATTTTATTCACCACTATTTCTAAATAATTCGAAGGCTTATATAATTCGCCACTTCTTAACAATTTAGTCGAGCTACACTGTTTGAAAAGTTAGCAAAATTTGTCAAATACTTGCAAATTTTAATTAGTAGTTAACCGTTTTTTATATCATTATGGCACGTGCGGAGCAGTTAGCATCTCTGTTTTAACTTGTTTCATATTCACAAAGTAAATATAAAGTAATAACAAAAATATAGTAATTAATTTACATGTACAAAAAAGATGCCTCGAATTAAAATATTTCATTGTCATGAACAACGTCAAGTATTTGTTGTCTGAAACAATAAAATGATCCAAATATTATTTATCAGGATGAAGATTTGGAAAATATTTGTAAACTTCCTGGTTGCATCCACGAGAGACCATTGCTTGAACTTTTTTGATTATCAGGTTCTTCTTTCTGAAAAATAAAATGTTTATTTTAAATGTTAATAGTACAATATTCTGAAGATGATTAGATAGTTACTTAACATAATAAGCAAATAATATATATATTATATTAACTCCAATTTTTACGAATTGTTACAGAGTTTTAAACCAATTAGTTGTGTAGTATTACAAAGCAAGCCATTAAGGCACATAACCTGACTTGAATCATAATAAAGACATCTGATGAGACACATACAGGGTATCTGCTACATTTTAGATTTTCAAATTCATGACTTTCCATGACTAATTCCTAGAATTTTTCATGACTTAACGAAGTTACTATTTACGCCGACAAACACACTAAAAATTTATAATAACATAAATTTAAATGATCCTCATATTTAAAGATTTTAAATTTAAAAAAACAGGGTAAAGAAAGAGTTGAAGCAATAAAATAGCTGAAAAAAAATACAAAAGCAAATAATTTTTTTCTGCAGAATTATATTCTAATGATACTTTTCTTATAATACTCCTGATTTTTCTGTTCTCATTTCGGAATTAAAAAAAATTTGCCAATGACTGGCTTGCTTGAGCAAGAATTTTAAATTGATAAAATAAAATTAAAAAATAAATAATAACAAAAATTCTGAAATCACAGAAGTTTAAAAGATAATTCGCTCTAGAAATGATGTTTTTTCTTTCATTTTTTGAAAGAACACCATAACTTTTAAAGAACATGATAAAAACATTTTATATTTTATTAAAATATGACTGTGAGTGGGAATTTTATAACAAATTCAGATATTGGTAATACCATGAAATGGGGGGGGGAGGTATTTTTTAAATTCAATTTTAAAAATTAGATTTTTCAGTGACCTAAATCCATGACTTTCCGTGATTTTCTTTAAAAAATAAAATAGTTAAAATCATGAAATTTCATGACAAATTTTGTTCAATACCGAAATTCATGACTTTCTAGGTACGCGGATACCCTGCACATATGGCAGTCTCAGTATTTCTAAAGTTTTTAATTTAAAACTAAAAAAAAAATTCTAAATTTTTGTTAATACAACAACCATAATACTGCACATGTGATAAGTATCACAGTAAAATTAAAAAAAATTTTGTAATTGTAATTTTATAGAAATAATTTATGAATTTTTTTAGAAGTAATTATATTAATTTAGAAGTAATTAACTTTTAGCATTATGCTATGTGTATGATAAATTTAAAACATTTTTTAACGTAATATATACCATTTACTGATGAAGGTAGGGAAATTTTCAGATAGAAAACTATCTAGAATATTTTCCACAATGTTTTCCCAGAAAAGTTTAAATGTCAGAAAACAATTTTTAGAATGTTTTTTATACAACTTATTTGTATTTTTTTTCTTCTTATAAATTCCCAAACCATTAAAACAAAAACTACAAACTTCAATTCCGACTTCGTAATCCAAATACAATTAAGTTTGATTTTGTTTTACTTAAGATTTGTCACATTATTTGATTGCAATCCCATTTCATAACAAAACAGCACTCACAGAAAACATTCTGTACACCCATTTCTCTGGTTATTTAATAAATAAAATAATGAGACAGGGACATGGAGAAAATATTGGTAACACTGAACTGACTGTTGCAGTTAAAGTGACAAGAAAATACATACTTTATAAGTAAATAATTTCTTTCTGAAGTCGTCATGAACTGAATGATCCCATGGTGTAAAATAAATTGCATGGGGATCATCTGTGCAAGGCTTATCATAAAGTTTTTCATTGCAGATTCTGAGGCTCTCAGACGAATTAATTTTATACAATTCAAGATCTTTTTCATACCTATAAAACCAAAAAAGCATATATCACTACTGTATTAATCTAGTATTCATTACTATCAGTTCCTTCATTAGACTTTACTAAATTTAAATAACATTAAGAAATGCAGTCATGGGAGGAAAAAGGTAATTAGCATTTAAATACAGTGGTACAGCCAGAAGTTTTTTCTGGAAGGGGTTTTAAAATTTAATAAGAAAAAATTAAAACAATAAACTACGCTTACTTATAATAATTGACAAACAGTGTTTCAGGCTTTGATAAATTATTTTCAGCTTTTCTCTGAATTCCTACTAATTATGACCATTGTACAAAATTTACAAATCTGCTAAAAAAATTTACTAAGCATCATTTTGAACAAATCTAGAGATTTTCCCTCATTAAAGCTACTTAAAATTTTAAATTTTATCTTCACTTTAAAATACGCAGAATTGATTCAATTTAATTTTTTATAAGCCTCACAATTTTTTCTTAGTAAATATCATAGTATTTTTTGATAAGTGCAAAATCATCATCACCCAGTTCTTAATTTGTGAAATATTCAGCCAAATGAGGTCAAGTTTGAAGAAATGATATCTGGAAATATATATATAAATATTTTTTCATGCAGCATAATTGATAATTAGAAAAACTTTCACATATTCTAGCATTATGTTATTGTAATCTTATTTCCTTTTTTAATACCATGGACAAGTTTCTTATTAATTAAATTCCTTTTACGATTGATTAACAACTGATTTAATTATTGAGGATGATTTCTGGGAGGGGTTTTAACTCCCAAAACCCCTTCTTGGCTCTGCCATTACTTAAAATATTATTGATGTTAAATTTCTGGCAACATTAACTTTAAATAGAACTTGAATTAGTTTTAATTTTTCCGATAAGAAAATGGGTATCAGTGTAATGAATTATCTTAAATAACCATTTCTTAGTTATTTCAAAGATGATACCAATGAAATTAGTTGTCACTGAGGATTTAGTTCTTGTAGTGCAGTTTGCTAATGGAGTTGCTATAGCAGAATGGCACTATATCACAAAACCATGTATGCAAAACCATAAGGTGCAGATGTTAACTAATCCTTATGCTGCCAACACACATGAAACTATGACACAAATCATGAACTATTTATTGCCAACACTTTGAAGTGCGTTGCTATAGCATTCATAACACACACAGAACAAATGACACTATTCAATTGGGTATGAGTGTTAAGTAATGCTCCATCTCTAATTCAAAATTAATTGCCCACTCTTCGAAGGTTCAATGCTATAGCGGCAACAACACACACATAGCAAATGACACCATTCAAGGGGATATTGATGTTAACTAATACTACATCTTTAATTCAATATTTATTGCTAACGTTTTGAAGAAAAATACTATAGCATCAAATCACACAGGTAGCAAAAACTAACTATATCAGAGGTACCATCTATAAAATAGCCTAATTACATTGATAAACACTAAATGCAAAAATTAAATAACTTTTTACTATGATAATTCAAAACACAAATGTGAAGCTAATACCTTGAATAAAAATCAATAATTTAAAAATAAATAGGAAATACGAATATAAAAAACATAAAAATTATTTTAAATCTTAATTTAATTATTTCAACAAAAAGTAGAAACGTTTAAGAAAGAAATTGAAGCTATGCTAAAAATCCAAACTATAAAGAAGCCTTGATAATATATATATATATATACGAGGTGTGATCAAAAAGTATCCGACTTTTGTTCATAAAATAAANAGAAAAAATTTACTTACAGTTCAGCAGCTTCCATGTTTGATGGGGATTCAGTTTCTATTTTGTAGAATATTCTCTTTGCATACTGAACAACTTGCCATAAATGATTCACATTTCTTCTAAAGTTGTAAATAAATAATTTTACTAACGTTTAAGAAATATAAACATATTATAAATGAATCATAAAAATATGAAGTTTACCGCCACTTTGGAAAAGCTCTTTTCACATCAAGTTCACCTGTTTCTATGTTTATCAAAGGATTAAACACAGGAGGGTCAAAAACTAATATCTAAAAAATTTTAAAGAATTGCATTAGTTTCCCTGAAACAAACTTTTTAAAAAAAGCCTAAAATATCTTCATGAAATATTTTAATACTCACAGGACAGTCACAGTCTGGATAGTTGTCAGGTACATACAGAGTGAAGCGAAATATACCCCCTTGATAGAGTCCTTGTCGAATGAATATCACACCAAACCACTCTAGAAATCAAAAAAGAAATTTACGTGAGTACTCAAACGAATTACAGAAAGATCAAAAGACAAACAATTTAAAATTAATATTATGCAATTTACAATTATTGTTTATAATATTTATTTTCAAAAAATAAAATAATAGAGAAAAGAGGTAAATACACTAGAGATGACTTCTGGCGATCTAAGTTTGTAGACTTATAATGTTATAAGTTTAAGATCTTGATTTATTTGCTTGTTCAATAGACATGTAGTGTTAACAATTAAATTCTCTATGGAAATTGTGCTGACATCTCTTGTTGGATTACAGTGAATATATCACTCAAATTCTTTTTTAAAAAAACAGCTCTTGATTATAGTTTGATCTTATTTAAAAGAGGTAAATCAGTTACAATGAGTAATAAGTAAAATTGTCAACACTGAGTATTCATTCTTTACTTTTTAGTTTTTTAACCTAATGACAGTTTTATTGTTACTGCTTTGAAATGTTCAGGCTTTTTTTTTATTCAACTTTGTTTCGGCCTATCTCCCTTACCCTCTAATCAGAAAACTGCAGTATAAAGGGCAATATTTTCTCTTATCTAATTTAAGACAGCCTCATAATTTTAGTTATGTTGAAATTATGTGAGCAAAAAAAAAAAAAAAAAAAAAAAAAAAAAAAAAAAAAAACGGAGACTATTCTATATATAGGATTGATTGATTGAGGTTTGGCCTAAAATGGCCTATGGATCCATTCAATCTGATAAGTAACATTTTTTTAATTGAATTTTAAATTTTAATAACTTTTTTATTGCTTAACGATGCACATTTTTCTGCATTAAAGTAATAAATATGTAAAATAATATAGCCGAATAATATAAACTTAAATTATGTTCATTAACTTATAATTACACCACTAATTTAATTAATACGTGGTTGATGATTTTTGTTTACTCCAAAAACCCAGCCAAACAGTGTTTAAATGTTTTCTTAAACTTTGTTAAAGTGTTTTTCCTAAAATATTCTATCAAATAAAAAAAATTTCTTTTTAGTTAAGTAGGTGCAACATCACATTTTGAAAGTTCTAATTATTGAATTAAGTAGGATGTGCTTATGTAAATAGTTTAAATTTTAGCCAAGATTTAGTTCTAATATATTTTTGTTTAAAATACTAATTTGTCTTTCATTATTAAATATGTTTCATACCATTTTTCATAACTACGAATAAACGATAGTGCATGAGCAGTCAGGTAGCATAAAGCTCAAGGACTGTTTATAATCCCTCAAAATAATTATTTTGTTAGATTGCATAGAATAATTAAAAATAATTCTAGTCCAAATTACCTAGTTATTCTAGTCCAATCTACTTGAATATTAAATTATTTTCATAAATTTTATTTAATTTACTCACAAAGCAATTTTCACTTTTAGTAAGCAGTTGTTCAGATTACTAACCTGGTTATATATCATTTTTATTAAATGATTAGTGCTAGTGTCAAAATATTCCAAAATAAATAAATTGTTAGTTTAAAATGAACCATAAATTAAAACAATGAAACCCAATTTATAACAATTACAATAAAAATCTTACTTAATGGAGAGCCAGCGGAGGGAATCACATACACGCCCGATAGCAACTGTTTTTGAAGAAGAAGGCTGAAAAAGTTGACATTTTTTCAACAAAGTTTGAATAACAAGTAACAAAATATCTACCTTAAAAGTTCATTGAAAGAGGCATTGAAGTCAAAAGAAAACATTTTAATAAATACCAGGATTTGCTCATAAGTTATTGTTCAAATTTAACAGTTTCTCTTTGAAATGAATTAATTTTTCAATGATGTTTATTTTATATTTTATACATAAAAGATTATTAACCGTTCATTTAAAAGCATTCTTATTAACATATATACAGTAGGGAACCGATTATCCGGAACAATCGGGGCCATCACTATTCCGGATAACTGATTTTTCCGGTTTTCTGAATTGCTACAAAAAGCCGTTTGTTTATTGTTAAACCCAACAAAAAAAAATTTTTTTTGGAAATAGTAATCTTAAAAAGATAAAACGATGAAGGAATACACTAATGATTATTTCCAAAATGATGGTAAGGTAAACATCTTTCAAAAAAGAAAACCAATAGGTTTNTTTTTTCAATGATGTTTATTTTGTATTTTATACATAAAAGATTATTTCCGTTCATTTAAAAGCGTTCTTATCAACATACATACATACATACATACATACATACATATCTCAGGGCCATGTTTTCCCACTTTGAAAAAAGAATTTCATATTCCTTCCTTTTTTGCATGACATAAAAATAAATAAATGGAAATTTACAATTTTTAAAATTTATAAAATCCATTGAGGAAGCTGTTGAAAAAAGATTGCTCACAACACTACTTTGATTTACAACAAAATCACACAAATTGAACTCTTTATTCGGAGTAACTCAAATACGCGTTTCGTCTTTGACATATCGTAATAAATATTGCATTAAAAATATTATTTTAAGAAATCATGCGAAAATCAATAACAATAACTGCTGAAAAATAGATTGAAGTATGACATAGCAAACAAATAGTGCATACTCAAATGTGCGATCCGAATTTCTCGTTGATCTTATGAGATATCTAAATATTAAAAACCATTGTGAAAATTAATTGCAATAACTGCTGAAAAATGATAGAAACATGGATTCACAATGGCATCAGCGCAAATCGAGCATGTAAAGCGCGATTATTTAAATGCAAGATTTGACTTTCATGTGTCATATTATTATATTAAAAATAGCAGAATCTTAAAAAACATGCGACCTTAAGCAATAGTTGCTGAAAAAGCAATCAAAAAACAGTTGAAGAGTTACATCCAAAAGTGAATAGTCAAAAGCGCAATTCAAAGTCTGTAGATGTAGATCATAATAATATTGTATGAAAAATATCGCAATGCAAATAAATAAACTTGAGAAAATTCGAAATGGCAACTACAAAAAAAAACTATTTACACTGTCCCACAAATAAAGCATGTCAAAAACTGATCACTCAAACGCAATTCGAATTCTGCAAATTGTAATCTTCATGAATTATCAAAAGGAGCGAGTGTTAAGAAAAATATTTAAATTTTAGTTTATCCGCAAACCAAGAAAATTTTGTCAAGATACAAATTTTAATTTGCGGAGTCCTGCAAATCAACTGTCTTGAGATTCGTGGAATTCTGCAAATTAGCAGAAAAATAAAAAGCCCACATTAGAGAACCATTTATCCGGTATCTAGAAAACCGGAACATTTTGCTCGGTTATCCTGCTATTTTGCACTAGAACGATTGAGATGATTGATTGAAATGTGTGGGGAGAGGATATTTTTCTTGCTGTTTGTCGATAGAAAACGTTTTTATGTATTTCTGTGACCATGAAGATCCAGAGGGGGCAGGGATAGGGCAAATGTTTATTTTTTTATGTGTGTGTGAAATAATCGCTTTTCTGATAAGCTGTCGTCAATAAAATAGAAAAGAGTGACATGTTGATTTCGTTTTCTTTTCGATTTAAGAGGGGGTGGGATAAATGCATTGCACATGCATTTCAGTGAACAAAAGATGAAAGAGAAATCAAAAGAAAAATATTTCCCTATACTTTAGTTTACTCAGAAAAAGTAAAAATGTTAAATTGAAATACGAAAATGATTATAATATGGCTATTTTTAATTCAACATTAAAGTAAGAATATAGTTAAGCTGAATTTAAACATTTAAAAAATAAGCAGAAGAATTTTGTACATTATAATTTAGTAAATTATTAACATAATTGGCTGCACTAGTGAGGAAAAAATACAAAAACCATCAAGCATTTTCCGGACTATTACTACTAAAATTCACAACTCATTGATATAAAAGGAATAGATTTTTACTGTTGGTACAAATTAAATGATTCCAAAAATTTATTTAACATTCGTTAGGGCCACATTCTTTCAACCAGGGTCATTTGCTAGAATCCAAATGTGAGTAGCAGTTTCTTTTAACACACTTAAAAAAGGGGATTAAATAAGAAAATATTGGTAACATTTAATTAAAAAAGTGACTAAGTTTTGCCATTCCTTAAAAGAACAAAACATTTTAAAAAATAAGAACGAAATAAAATATTAAATAAGTATGAATCTTTTTCTTAACTCGGATCCGGTTCAATTTAGAATATGGAATGAAAATTCGGAAATTGAACAACAATATCGTCGAAAATAAAATGACAGATTCGTTAGCCCTGGGAATTGACGGCAGAAACAAGATTCGTAAAAAAAAAAAAGTTTGTGAATTGTCAGGGGAAAACGGAATTTTACCCCAAAACCCGGAATTATCACAGTCAGAGAATTATATTAAAAAAATAAAAAATAATCAATTAGCAATATTTAAAAAAACATACTATTAAGATATTATTGAATATTTTAAAAATAATGTGTCACATGTTAATTATAATGATATTTACATAAATTAAATATATAATCAATGTATAAGTAATATTGAAACTAACATATTATTCAGATATTAATGAATAATCTAAATAGAATGCATAATATGCTTATCATTGTATTACTAGCAGGGGTCTGTCCAGACATTTTGTGAAAGGTCCTGTTTTTGAAAAATTGTTAAAAATTTATTCGTAATTTATGAATATAAAATAAACGTTAAGTCACATTCTTTCAACCAGGGTCCTGCTTTTATGAAATTGTGCAAATAGGGTCCAGTTATTGCAAAAAACTTTTTCAATGAGTTTTATATTGCAAATAGATACAAGATTATGCTTATAATTTTAAAAAATTTAATTTTCAAAAATAAGCCTATACTGCTGAACGCAGAACGAATAATGGAAGAAGCGTCTGCCAAAGACAAAACTAAATTCGTTTACATTCATCTTTCTTGTTTTCCTATTTCGATTAACAAAATAATAATGAAGATAAAACAGATTTGTGAAGGGTCCGATTAAAAGAAAAATAATTTACGGAGTGCCCGTTTTTAAGTTAAAAGATTTCGTGAAGGGTCCGGTTTTATGAAAAGATATTTTGTGAAGGGTCCGTTAACGAACCCAAATTTCTTCTAAACAGATCCCTGACTAGGTTATACTTTGTAATGCATTTTTCATCCATTTTTGAGACTTTTTTTCCTCACCAACAATGATAATAACTGCCAATTTGGTTTATGGATTGTACATGCAGACAGCTGTGATATAATGATTGAAAAAGGAGAAGAGCAAAGGTTTCAATTTAATATTCATTATGATTGCTTTCTTTTAAAGTTTAAGTGTGATTGCCCAGAATTTAATACATTATTGCTTTTTTTAAAGAACTACATAGTTGTTCCGATTAGTAGTGGATTTTCATATGAAATATATCTTTGAAGTGATGCACATGCACAAAATTGTCATCCATGTTTATAAGTCGAAGTTACAAGATAACTCTGAGTTTAATAGGGTTGTAATATTTGATTCCGTTTTTGGCATTAGGTTCATAACAAATTAGTTCTATGAATATTCTAAAAAAAGGCATCATATGCTTATAATTATTATATTATTTTTCACATAAAATATAACATATTATAACAACATATAACAACACAATATAACAGCATATAAGTAAACATACTATTCAGATATCAATGAATATTCCAAAAAGAATGCATCATATGCCTGATTTTGTTTTGTATTTGTGTTCCTGTCAATGACAGCAGTAGCTGAGCTCATCAGTTCTCCAGATGGTGTGGCAGGTAAAACTTTTTTGAGTGAAGGAAAATTTTTCTCACTCTCATTATTCTTGTTGCCCTACAATATATATATAAACATAATTAGCAAAAAAACTAAAATAAAAACAAAGATATCACAGTATTAAAATAAACTTTTTCTTCTAAATAAATAAAAGAGAAATAAACAGTCTTATTATTGTGACATAAAAATTAAAAAATAATCTTTGATTATAAGAAAAAAAGCACTTAAATTTAAAAATAAAATTTGAATTATTATAAGAACTATTATAATTGTTGAATTATTATAATATATTTGAATTATTATAAGAGTGTGATTTCCTTGCCAGTAGGTACCTATGACAAAACAATGGCCAAATTTTCAATAACTAAGCAATGACAGTCAAGAAATGAAAAAGGAAACTACTGAAGGGAACAAACTTGAAGGGTATAACTTGTAACCATCCTCAAGCAAGCCAAAATGAGATTTTTTTTTCTTTTTTAATATTTTACAAGTACAAGAATATTTTTATACTTTTGCTATTATATTCTGATTTCAAAAATATGTAATTGTCGTGAGCAGGAAACAAAATTGAAACATTTCCTGTAGCTTAATGGTGCCTTTTTTTTATATTGTGTCAAGCTACAGGTAAAACCATAATTTCATATATTAATTATTTCATTTCATATATTAAGTACAAAGCCCCAGATTTGGATGCTTATTTTCTAGAAACCTATTTTCCTAGCCTTTTTTAACAATTAAAATAAACTAATTTCACTTCGTTTTTCCAGGGAAAAAAAATCAATTATGTTTGTTCAAAATTTCAGTCAATTGAGCAATATCTAATCATCAAAGTGCAGATGTAAGTATAACATCATGGAAACTACCTCACCTTGTTGAACTGGAAATTTTCAGTTGTAACAAACTAGTTCTGACAAGTGGTCAAGCTAGAAATGTTTTTTTTTTCAATAGGGTTATTGTTCATATTTATTTCATAATGTTTAGTAGTATGCATTACATTTGTTTTTACTTTAAGTAAATGCATTCTAAATAAAAATTTTATTTTTATACAATGGGTTGCTCTGCTATATTCTCAAACTGAAAAACTTGGAGTTCGATAGAACATAATACAGTGAAATCTCTCAGGAGTAACCAGTGTTCACCCCAAAGTAAAATGATCGTTGATGGAGATTAGTCGTTCTTAGAGGTTACCTCCACTGACTTCAAAATTGTTATTGAAGGTAGACTATTATAATTTTAATGAGTGTCATTTTCTTGGTGCGGAAATATCAATTTTGTTGGCGTCACGAAAAGATGGATCGATGAATAAATTTAGGGTCTTTAAAACAAAAATGATCCCAACTAATATAATTATATTTAAAAATTAATTTATCAATTATGAATGATAAAGTTATTTTAAATAGATAAATAATTATGTTTTTGTTTAAGTTTGCATTGAATTTTATATCATAAAAATTAATTAGCTTTAAAAGATGTAAGTTTGTTTCAGATGCTTGTTTTTTTTCTTTAAATTTTTTTTTTAATAACTTAACTTTCAACACTAAAAGTAAATCGTTGATAGCATCATCTTTAGTGCATTCTGACTGCAACATGAGGTTGCATTGCCAAAAAGAGCACTTTAAATAAGAGCCTCATACAAATATTTTGAATACATTTTAATCTACTAATACACTCAAATTTTTCGTTTTGATAATATTAGGTGTTTCCTAATTTGAGCATTTGGCACAGATGTCTTGCCTGTTGCTTGGATAGGTTTAAATGGTCTCTCTTAAAGGTTTTCTTCAACACAAAGTCTATAAAAAAAATTCTGTTCCTCCCAAAGTGGTCGCAAATGATGGTTGCTACATAGAGGTGGTGGAGGTTTCACTATATGTATAAAAATGATTAAACTAACCTTTAAGTTTTCTGAAGCCATATTGGTGTAAGTATGAAAGACCTGTAATGAAAGAGAAAGATTATTTTTAAAGTACTGAATACTATTTTTCAACAAATTCATAAATATCAATTTATAATCAGATAATGTGACAGAAAATATCAAACTTAAAATAAAAATAAAATGTTATAAAAATAACCATATTTATCCATGCATGCAGAAAGTCTTCCTCGAGTTATCAGTAGGGTTCTTAAGTCGTCAACAAGTCAACAACTATCACCTCAAGTCATGCATAAATAACACCAAAACAAATTTTGCCAAAATAATTTAAACATTTTTATAAATATACATATTGTAATGTTTTTGTCATAACCTGAGAACTTTATATTTCTTTTCTCATATTAAAAAAATCATAACTGTAAGAAATTTACATTATTACATCATTAATATATTTTTGTCTGTCATAATGTATAGGAATTAAAAATTGCTCTGCTTCTATCTTTTAAGTCAGCGTTTGCATTAGCAGGGGTCTGTCTAGGTTTTTCTGATAGGTACCTATTTTGTGAAAATTTAGACGTAATTTGTGAAAAATTAAAAATTATATTAAAAAATCAACACAAAAATATGGATTTATCGTTTCTTAAGGGATACAAAAATGAAATTTTAAGAAAAAGTATTTTGTGAAACTACCGTTTTTCCTAAAATTGAATTTGTGAAACTACCGTTTTTCCTAAAATTGAATTTGTGAAACTACCGTTTTTCCTAAAGTTGAATTTGTGAAGGTACCGCTGAACGGTAGTAAATTCGGCCTGGACAGACCCCTGATTAGAGAAAGAGTAAGGGAAAAAGTTCATGTAATGAATATGTCACTACAACATATTAAAAAAATCAGGAAATTCATCTGAAAAGTCACATCAAGATCTAACAAAAACCTATCAACAGAATCAGTGTATTTAGCATTCAAGAATCAAATTATCAAAAAGTTTTTATTTAAATAGTGATTTAAGTTTCGCAGGTCCTATTGATACTGCATAAAAAAACTATATTTTTTTTAAAAAAAGTCAGTACCTGTAGGAATAAAAGATAGAAAAACAACATAGATTAATGATAAAAGTACTCTGAATTTAATGCTTCAAAATTTACATGATATAATAGCCTATTAAAAAATTGAGATTGCAAAAAACGATTTAATATTCTAAAATTGAAATGTACTATTTCTAAAGTAAATATACATACTCATCTTATTTTATTTAATAACTGTCATTGAACAGGCGACCCAATTTTTGGGTTTACGTCTACTTCGCAGCCTTGTAATTTTGAACCCATTCCAGAAGACATGGGAAAGTATTGGGAGAAATTTGCCTTTGTTGAGGACTTTTTGGGGGAACTAACCCGAATTTGTGTTACATGGAGAGGAAAACCCCTTACGGTTAGCCTGATGTTAATTACGGACTCCAACCCATGATCCACCTACCACAGGGGATATTTTACCTCAGCACTGAGGTCCGTGGAAGCCAGATATGGAATTTGTATCGACCAGTCAATGCTGCCATTTGAACCCAGTTCACCTCATTGAAAGGTGAACGCTTTATCCCCTGAATTGTGTGCTTGCATAGCTTAGTTTTTTTTTTTTACCCTAGTTTACTATGCCACATTTTTGTTTCATTATATGAATAGTAAAAAAGTGGTGCTTTTGTACCTTTAAATTTTCATTGTTTATAACAACTATAGCTATTAGATAATGTTTACAAAAGAAAACTCTTTTTAATTGGTTTATAAAAAAATACATAATGACTTAAATAACGTAAAGTAAACTTTAATTGTAACATAAGAATTTTAAAAAATTTAATAAAGGCAAATATCAAAATACTACTAAAAAGTAATCTATTGTAAAATAAAAAAGGTAAAATACCTATTCAGGTAATAAAATTTAAAAAAATAAATAAATAAATTAGATTCCATTTAAATAGAAAAACCACTAAGAAAATTAAATTTAAAAATAACATATATATAATTAGACACTATGAACATCCTTTTAAAACTGTATTCATGAAAATTACTAAGATACTACTTATGGATTATGCTTTCTCAGTTTTTATTTACTTTTAACAGCGCCATATTTTTTATACTTTGGGACAAACTCCTACAAATAAATTCAAATGAACCAAATGCACATTACAAATGTACTCTAACACTCATAAATCTTTTTTACTGTATTTATAATTAATTAAAGTTAAGTAATATTTTATGAATGTAAGAAAAATAAATTTTAAAATAAATATTTCATTAAACCACAAATACTTTTTTCGTCAATAAGCTTTGAGTGAAAAAAAAGTAATATCTGCTTACTGTCGAAGTTATTACAAATCTCTTTCATTTTCGTCCTGAAAATAAGAAGTTTAAGGTCATTGTTGAAAGAAAACACAATGAAGCAATCCCAGTTATCCTAAAAGTAATAGTTTGCTTAAAATTAATTTTTCAAACCTGAAATATTGATTTTTCAAACCTGATCAAAAAAGATACAGATTTATCTTCATTTAATAAAAGAAACCATAAAATTATTTGGGAAAATGATGGAACCTGTCAAGAGAGTACTAATGTAACAAAAAATCTAAAATCATTATTAATAGCTGTTTCAGAAAAATATAGTGTATAAAAAAACATTCACTAGATTTCAGAATTTGTACAACCTCGTGAAACAGAGTTTTACCATAATTTAAGGGCATAGCAGGTTCTTCGGTAAAAAATTTGATTAGACAGTAATAAATTTTCCCTTTTCAGTTATAACAAAATAGATAATTACCTTGTCTTCACATAAATATAGGAGAATTATGACTTCTCAAGCACAGTAGCACCAGTTAAATTAAACGGAACCAATTATTATACTAGGTAAAACAGCATTTATACAGTAAAAGACTCCATTTCTCAAAAAAAAGGAATTTAGGAATAAATTCAGGACGCTACAAATTATAGCACCACGCCCCTTTTACCAGAACCGGCAAAAATAAAACGATCACAATGTTAAATTATTATGTAAAAAGTTTATTAATCAATTTTTATAACTTATTTTATTTAATAAAACATCAGTATTTCTGTTTGAAATAATACTAAGTATTCTGAATACGAACGACTTTCTGCTTCCGTGTTTGTTTTAATCGAAATGCGCTTCCAGTTACCTATTTCTGCAAGCTTAAACTCAACTCGACTTTAAAAACTATCATAGCAGTTGTCTCAATTTCTCTGTAGTCCCGCAGTGATAGTCTCTGTAATCCCGCAGTGTAGTCCCGAAGACATGCCATCACAATTTTGATCCTCTGCAGAGGGGATGGCTCCCCCGCTTCGGTAGCCCGATGACCAGCGCGCGAAGTCGAGCACTTTACGGTAGCACAGTTTAACGAGGACCGATAAAGCACACCCTCGGTCCCTACGCAGACGGATCCAAGTGGTCACCCACCCGCACACTGACCGCAGCCAGTGATGCTTGACTTTGGTGATCTGATGGGAACCGTGTCTTAACGATGAGTCCACTGCGGGACGCAATCATTTTTTAAAATAACATTTATATTCTTATAACATTATATTGTTCAAACAAATTTGATGAGTTCACAGCCGTAATTTAAAATTTTCGCTAATAATAACAGTACTGGAAAATAACTTTTAATTAGGAATATAAAATTATTTAAAGGAAAACAATACTATTATAACTTATAACTTTTAGTCCCGCAGTGGACTGATTGTTAAGACACGGTTCCCAGCAGATCACCGAAGTCAAGCATCACCGGCTGCGGTCAGTGTGCGGGTCGGTGACCACTTGGATCAGTCTGCGTAGGGACCGAGGGTGTGCGGTATTGGTCCTCGTTAAACTGTGCTACCGTAAAGTGCTCGACTTCGCGCGCAGGTCGTCGGGCTACCGAAGCGGAGGTGCCATCCCCTCCGCAGAGGATCGAAATTGTGATGGCATGTCTTCGGATCATCCTCCGGGATGTTTCCCGCCAATAGCCCATTGTGCAGCTCTAGTGCGACGTAAATTAACAACAACAATTTCTCTGCAAAGGCAAGGCTGAACTTAATCGCAACCGTTTCGATTCTAATAAGCAGTTTCGAGCAATCCAACCATATGATTATTAGTTTCATTGTTATGTATTTTTACATAATTTATGAGTTAGTGTTTTTTCGGCGTTTGACTCACGAGAGGTTGTTTGTGGAGTGAAAAAATCTTTGGATGTTTTAATGTGAATCGACTGCAAAGAATAGTGATAAAGTAGGTCCTTTATATTTCTAGTAACGGATACTTCACCTCGGTTACTGATAAGAACTTCGTAATTTTGTTTTCTCCCGAGTTGGGAGTTTTCGCTCGTCGGGAAAGGAACCGCCCCCTTCTCCGACAGACTCTTCTGCTTCTTTCCAGGAAAACTGTAAGTTACAATTTTCCGTATAATTTGGAAATGTAAATAATGGATCAGAATGAATTAATGGATGAAACTGCTACAGAATATAGCAGTCGTCTTATTAAAACGAATACTAACATCCTCTTAGAATATGACGACACGATCCAAGACAAACTGACGTACGCAACGGACAATGGTTTAAATTCATACACGCTATTTTTCTCGCCAACAGGAGTAAACTCGTTTCCCAAAAAACCTTTGCAATTAAAAACAATTCTAACGAACGCTGTTAGCAACCCAAGGAAAATTAGTTTATGCACTCATACAAGACAGGGCAAACTACTTATTCAAACCTCAGATTTAGCTACAGCTTTGGAACTTACCAACCTGAATTCTCTATTTGATATACCTACCAAACCTGAAGTGATACAAGAAAACATTACATCTCGCTTCCTTCTGCATGAGATACCGTTAGACTTAAATCTTTGTGATTTAAAAACCGAATTAGAGTACAGCAACATCCAAGTATATAGTATTCGACGATTCCAAAAAAGGGGAGATACCGTCCCCTCTGAAACCTGCTTAGTAACCTGTTACGGAACACACACGCCGAAGAATCTTAGACTCTTCTATGATAGCATCCGACCCATAGCATTTTATGACCGCCCTAGACAGTGCCACAAATGTTACAAATTCTCACACTTAGAAAAGAATTGCCCCGCTCCTACCCAAATTTGTAGCCAGTGCAGTGGAAGTCATCACAAATCCGCATGCAACAGCCCTACAACGATCTGCAGTAATTGCACAGGGAACCACGCCTCCGACTATCCTGATTGCCAAGCACGACTAGAGGAAGCTCGATTTTTGCGCTTCAAAAACGAATCTCACTTAACGTTTCCAGAAGCTCGCAGACAATATAAATCACAAAAAGATAAACCAACGTTTGCATCAGTGGTGAAATCCGACCGATCAGAACAAATTGCGGATATCAAAGAAATAGTCAAAACAGCAGTAGCAGAAGTAGCTACAGTGTTTGACGCAAAACTCTTGGCGTTAACACAACGCCAGGACGCCCTCTTCGACAAAATATTCAAAGTTTTAGAAATTTTGACTTCTAAACAAGACATCGAACAACCTCACCAAAATCTTTCACGTAAGAAATTTCGTCCGACACTCGACACGGAAGCCCTAGAACACGGTTCTAAAACCGAATTTCCCTTTGTGACCGACACTGAGTCACCCACTCCGTACTTATCCAACTACATCGAAACAGAACCTCGACCAGAATCTTCAGAAATTAAAGGGCAGAGCCTAGTTACACCAGTTCGAGGCACTACCCCAAGACCACAAAATAGAGGTCTAACCCAAAAGGTCCCGCAAGTTCAAACAAAATCATCGACCAATAAAACCAAAAGCTAACCCCTACTTCCTTACTGCAATTGACAATACAATTCTCTAGCCACCCTTTTGAACAGTCTACAAAATGCCAATTAACATCACTTCCTGGAATTGCCGAAGTATTAAAAACAAACTTCACTGGCTTAAAATAAAACCTTTTTCTCAATCCCATATAATTGTTCTTCAGGAAACGTTTTTAAGTTCAGCAGACTCGCTCCATGTTCCGTCCAAGACAATTTTCCGTCAGGATCGAACGAGAGGTCGAGGAGGCGGACTCGTCATCGCGGTTGACCGCAACATTTCATCGAAGATCATTCCAATACCGAATCTACCAACATCAGATAACGAAATCTTAGCGGTGCAGATCACAACGACTAATTTCTCATTTTTACTAGTGAATATTTATTCCCCTAAAGGTCAATATTCAATAGACTGGCTGCAATCCCTAAGACGAACGTTAACAAACCCTTTTATTTTAACAGGTGATTTCAACGCACACCATGCTGCGTTAGGAGCTCAGACAACATCAAGAGACGCGGATAGGCTCCTCGACTGGATCCTAGATGCGCAATTCTCTCTACTAAACACGAAGGTCCCCACATGCTTCAAACCAGGGTGCCAACCCTCCCTTCTAGACCTCACAATAACATCAGCGGATTTTTTTCCCAAAATGAATTTCGTAGTGTCCCCAGACACATTCGATAGCGATCATGCCCCTGTGAACATGTCCCTTAATACCCCAAACGGCAACCCCGCTTTGAACAGGCAAACTCGAGTGAACTGGAAGAACCTAACCCGTGACCTTGAGGAAACTATTCGAACCGAAAATACCCTTACAACTCAAAAGTTTCAAACTATTTTCCAGCAAAAAATAAAGAATCATACCTCTTTCAGACCAGCGATTAATCCACTCTTCCCACCCTACTGGAACAGTCTGTGCTCCTATTTATTAGGTAAGAAACGAAAATATCTAAGAATCGCGCGTAGATCCTTCAACCCAGATAAGTGGAATATATACAAAAAAGCAGCAGCTGAGCTACGAAAAACAATACACTCAGCCCGAAGACAATATTGGAATGACGTTTGTGTCAACGCAGGTCAAACTAAATCCATTGGAAAAATACTCCGTGCAATTATTAACCGCCCTGAAAACCAAAATATATCGTCAAATCTAATCATGACCAACAACATTGAGCTTCACAGCCCATTGTCTCAAGCAAATGCATTTGCAGCTTTTTACTCCAAACCACCAAACAAAAACCCACTCCCACTGGATTTCAGCGGAGCTGACCAAGAATTCAACGAACCATTCTCCTTACAAGAACTCAACGACTCCCTCACAGCTTCAAAATGCAAGTCCCCCGGACCAGATGGCATCCCTTTAAAAATTCTTCGCTCCCTTTCGGAAGCAGCCACTCAGAAGCTACTCGACGAATTAAACCATATCTGGGTCTCAGGACAGATCCCAGAATCCTGGAAGCTAGCCCATATCATACCTATCCATAAGAAAGGGAAACCACCTGACCTAATATCATCATACAGACCCATATCACTCACATCAACCTTGAGCAAATCCCTCGAACGCATGCTCTTAAAGAGACTCGTAGATTTTTCACTCAAAACTAGAATTTTCCATCCCTATCACTGTGGATTCCTACCATTCAAAGGTGTAGACTCGGTTCTCACCATTCTTCACCATGAAGTGCTCCAGGCTCGGTTCGAAAAAAAGTATGTAATTTGCTGCTCCCTAGACATTCACGCTGCGTATGACAGTATAAACCAGGAATATTTAATTCTCAAACTCTTAAAGGTCGGAATTACTGGTCGAGCCGCCAAATTCATACACAACTTTGTCAACCAAAGAAAAATAGCTGTGCGATGGAGGAAAGCGCTTTCAGCCAACTTTCCTATGAACAGAGGCGTTCCGCAAGGATCTGTGCTCTCCCCATTCCTCTTCATGATTTACATGTCAGACCTGCATCGCATTCTCCCAGGTGACATAACTTGCCTCATTTTTGGAGACGACATCTACCTTATAGCAATCGCTGAAACCACCTACGAAGTAAGACATAAGATGCAATTTTCACTCCACCTTATTCAGGAATGGTGCAAGGACTGGTGCCTCGAAATCGTTCCGGAAAAAAGTGCCGTCATCAACTTTTCTAGAAGACGCTCAGGTGATAACTTCAATCTCAACATCTTTAATAAACCTATCCCGTGGACTCAAAATCTCCGAATTCTCGGACTTCACTTCTCCAGTAACCTGAGCTTCCACCACCACTTCAGAATTTTAAAACAAAAAATTTTAAAGAAACTCTCCGCTCTTCACTGTATTGCTACCACCCGCTGGGGAGCCCAGT